TTTTTTTTTTTTTTTTTTTTTTCCACGTTTATTTATTTTTGGGACAGAGAGAGACAGAGCATGAACGGGGGAGGGGCAGAGAGAGAGGGAGACACAGAATCGAAACAGACTCCAGGCTCCGAGCCATCAGCCCAGAGCCTGACGCGGGGCTCGAACTCATGGACCGCGAGATCGTGACCTGGCTGAAGTCGGACGCTTAACCGACTGCGCCACCCAGGCGCCCCCCTCTTTCCCTTCTTGAACAGTCTGTATTTCTTCCTCTTTACTTGACCCAGGTTCCTAAGCCATTAGATACCTTCTCTTGATCAAGTTACTCTCTCAGGGGTACTGTCACATCTTACTCCCCTGTTCACTAATATCAAGTAACCAACATGTAAGCAAAATGGTCACTATAAATAGTAGCAATACCACCAAATTATCTACAAATAAATAAATTTTGTGCTACAAAAGAAATGAGGTACTAAGAAAATAATGGAGGGGTGCTATTTTGGAAAGGTGCATAATCAGGGAAGAACTTCTCTGAAAACAAGGAGAGCACCTAAACAGGCTTGATTTTTGAGGTGCCTGGCTGACTCAGTCAGTTGAGCGTCTGACTCAAAAAAAGGAGAGCACTTAAACAGGCTTGATTTTTGGGGTGCCTACGTGGCTCAGTCGGTTAGGCTTCCAACTCTTGGTTTCAGCTGAGGTCATGATCTCACAGTTTGTGAGTTCAAGCCTGCACTGGGCTCTATATTGACAGTGCAGAGACTGGTGTGGAGCTCAATCCCAAAACCTTGAAATTACGACCTGAGCCAAAATCAAGAGTCGGAAGGATCAACCTACTGAGCCACCCAGGTGCCCAGAGAGCATTTGGCATTTTAAAAGAAACTTTTTAAAAGAGGAAATGTGGCTGCATTGTTGTGAAAATAAAGGCTAGTATAACCTGAATTTGGAAAGATAGGAATATTTGTTCACTCTCTGCCTACCAAAAAGACAAAGATACATCAGAGTAGCTGAAAAATAAAGTACATCTATCTGCATACTGTTTATAAAAGCCACACAAAATAAAACTACACCGCAAGAATGAAAATGAAAGGGAGAAAATGATATGCCGGGTAAGTCCAAATAAAAATAAAGCTGGTATAGAAATAACAATAACTGAAACAATAAAATGTTTTTAAAACGTAGGGTTCATTATTACATTATAATAAAGGGGAACTCAACAATAAATTAAAACAATCCTGAATGTGAATATTCACAACCATATGGTATGCCACAGAATTTTCAAATATGAAAAGCAAAAAAAAAAAAAAAAAAAAAAAAAAAAAAAAAAAAAAAAAAAAAAAAAAAAAAAAAAAAAAAAAAAAAAAAAAAAAATTGGTAGAACAAGGAAAAACTGACAAATCTGCAATGAATAAAGATTTCAACATACTCTTCTCAGTATGTAATAAAATAAGCAAATTATTAAGAAAACCAAAAAACCAAAGCCCCAATAATGACAAAAATATATAAACTTGAGTATATATGCTGACTTTCCACAAATAACCTATTCCCTTTCCAAGAACACATGTAAGAGGAACAAAAATGAACTAAGTGGACACAAGACAAGTCCTAAATTTCAAAGATCAGATATCATACAGACTATACCTTCTTTAATCATAGTGCAATTTAGTTAGAAATCAGTTGTTTAAAAAATAAAAGGGTTAAAATAAAATCTCTTTGGAAACTTAAACATGCATTCCCTAAATAAGTCATCGGTTGCAAAGGAAATCACAAAATACTTAAAACTGTATGACAACGAAAATAATACAGGTCAACAAACAACTGCGAGAAACA